TTGGAATAAACGTTTTGATAGTGTGATCAAAGCATATGGTTTTATACAGACTTTTGGAGAAGCCTATATTTACAAGAAAGTGAGTGGGAGCTCTGTAGCATTTCTAATATTATATGTGGGTGACATATTGTTGATTGGAAATGATACAGAATTTCTGGATAGCATAAAGGGATACTTGAATAAGAATTTTTCAATGAAAGACCTCGGTGAAGCTGCTTATATATTGGGCATCAAGATCTATAGGGATAGATCAAGACGCTTAATTGGACTTCCACAAAGCACATACCTTGATAAAATTTTGAAGAAGTTCAAAATGGATCAAGCAAAGAAAGGGTTCTTGCCTGTATTACAAGGTGTGAAGTTGAGTCAGACTCAATGCCCGACCACTTCAGAAGGTAGAGAGAAAATAAATGATGTTCCCTATGCTTCAGCCATAGGATCTATCATGTATGCAATGTTGTGTACCAAACCTGATGTGTGCCTTGCTATTAGCTTAGCAGGGAGGTACCAAAGTAATCTAGGAGTGGATCACTGGACATCGGTCAAGAACATCCTGAAATACCTGAAAAGGACTAAGGATATGTTTCTTGTTTATGGAGGAGACAAAGAGCTCGTCGTAAATGGTTACGTCGATGCAAGCTTTGACACTGATCCAGATGACTCTAAGTCACAAACCAGATACGTGTTTTTATTGAACGGTGGAGCTGTCAGTTGGTGCAGTTCTAAGCAAAGCGTCGTGCCAGGATCTACGTGTGAAGCGGAGTACATAGCTGCTTCGGAAGCAGCAAATGAAGGAGTCTGGAGGAAGGAGTTCATATCCGATAAAGGTGTCATACCTAGTGCATCGGGTCCAATGAAAATCTTTTGTGATAATACTGGTGCAATTGCCTTGGCAATGGAATCCAGATTTCACAAAACAACCAAGTACATCAAGAGACACTTCAATTCCATCCGCGGTCAAGTCAAGAAGGGAGACATAGAGATTTGCAAGATACATACGGATCTGAATGTTGCAGACCCGTTTACTAAGCCTCTCTCACGAGCAAAACATGATCAGCACCAAGACTCCACGGGTGTTAGAATCATTACTCTGTAATCTGGATTATTGACTCTAGTGCAAGTGGGAGACTGAAGGAAATATGCCCTAGAGGCAATAATAAAGTTGTTATTTATATTTTCCTATATCATGATAAATGTTTATTATTCATGCTAGAATTGTATTAACCGGAAACTTAGTACATGTGTGAATATATAGACAAACAGAGTGTCACTAGTTTGCCTCTACTTGACTAGCTCGTTGAATCAATGATGGTTATGTTTCCTAACCATAGACATGAGTTGTCATTTGATTAACGGGATCACATCATTAGAGAATGATGTGATTGACTTGACCCATCCGTTAGCTTAGCACGATGATCGTTTAGTTTGTTGTTATTGCTTTCTTCATGACTTATACATGTTCCTATGACTATGAGATTATGCAACTCCCGGGTACCGGAGGAACACTTTGTGTGCTACCAAACGTCACAATGTAACTGGGTGATTATAAAGGTGCTCTACAGGTGTCTCCAATGGTGCTTCTTGAGTTGGCATAGATCGAGATTAGGATTTGTCATTCCGATTGTCGGAGAGGTATCTCTGGGCCCTCTCGGTAATGCACATCACTATAAGCCTTGCAAGCATTGTGGCTAATGAGTTAGTTGTGGGATGATGTATTATGGAACGAGTAAAGAGACTTGCCGGTAACGAGATTGAACTAGGTATTGAGATACCGACGATCGAATCTCGGGCAAGTAACATACCGATGACAAAGGGAACAACGTATGTTGTTATGCAGTTTGACTGATAAAGATCTTCGTAGAATATGTAGGAACCAATATGTACATTCAGGTTCTGCTATTGGTTATTGACCAGAGACGAGTCTCGGTCATGTCTACATAGTTCTCAAACCCGTAGGGTCCGCACGCTTAAAGTTCGATGACGATCGGTATTATGAGTTTATGTGTTTTGATGTACCGAAGGTAGTTCGGAGTCCCGGATGTGATCACAGACATGACCAGGAGTCTCGAAATGGTCGAGACGTAAAGATTAATATATTGGACGGCTATATTCGGACACCGGAAGTGTTCGGGATGATTTCGGAGAAAACCGGAGTGCCGGATGGGTTACCGGAACCCCCCGGGAAAGTATTGGGCCTGAGGGGAGAGAGAGGGCTGCAGCCCAGGAGGGGGCGCGCCCCCTCCCATGGGGAGTCCAAATTGGACTATGGGAGGGGGGCGCGGCCCCTCTTTCCCTCTTCCTCTCCCTCTCCCTCTCTTTCCTTCCCCCTTCCATCTTCCTAGTTGGACTAGGAAAGGATGAATCATCTTCCTTTCCTCCTCTCCTTGGGGCGCACCAAGGCTGGTCGGCCTCCCCCCTTTCTCCTTTATATACGGGGGTGGGAGGGCACCCAAAGACACACAAGTTGATTGTTCCAAGCCGTGTGCGGTTCCCCCCTCCACCATAATCCACCTCGATCATATCGTAGCAGTGCTTAGGCGAAGCCCTGCGTCGGTAGCAACATCATCACCGTCATCAGGCTGTCGTGCTGACGGAAATCTCCCGTGAAGCTCTGCTGGATCGGAGTTCGTGGGACATCATCGAGCTGAACGTGTGCTGAACTCGGAGGTGTCGTGCGTTCGGTACTTGGATTGGTCGGATCGTGAAGACGTACGACTACATCAACCGCGTTCTCATAACGCTTCCGCTTACGGTCTACAAGGGTACGTGGACGATACTCTCCCCTCTTGTTGCTATGCATCACCATGATCTTGCGTGTGTGTAGGAATTTTTTTGAAATTACTACGTTTCCCAACAGGTACGTGGACAACACTCTCCCCTCTCATTGCTATGCATCACCATGATCTTGCATGTGCGTAGGAATTATTTTTTTAAAATTACTGTGTTCCTCAACATTCATAAGCTCCGAGGGAGAGGAGTCATGGACCATAAATCCCTCTATGCGGATGACGCAATCGTTTTTGTAGCTCCGATCAAAACTGATGTGGACAACCTTGCGACTATTCTAAGAGGCTTTGGGGATGTCATCGGTTTGTGCACCAACTTCCATAAGAGCTCGATGGTTCCGATTCGGTGCGGTAACCTTGATTTGGGCGCATTACCCAAGGGTTACCGGTTGTTAGGGCCTCCTTCCTGCTGCAAGCTAAAGCTCGTTGACCTGCAATTCCTTGTGGACAAGGTGGCAAGCAGATTAACAACATATGAGGGCCAGGACATCACCACCATTGGGCGCGCGGCTCTTGTCAAGTCGGTGCTCGCTTTCCAAGTGATCTACTTCATCACGCCGCTTGTCATACAACCCATCATCCTTCAAAACATCGACAAGCTTGAGAGGGCCTTCCCGTGGTCCGCGTAAGATAAGACAACCGGGGCAAAATGCAAGGTCAATTGGGACATTGTCACTCGGCCACTTGCTTATGGTGGGCTTGGGTTCCTCGACACCTATAAGTTCCCGCGGGCATTGAGACTGCGGTGGTCTTGGTATGAATGGAAGGAGCCAAACAAAATTGTGGGTTGGGACAGATAACCTGTGTGATGAGAAAGATCTCAACTTCTTCTATGCTTGCACCACAATCAAGGTTGGGAATGGGGGGAGGACACCCTTCTGGGAATCCCCTTGGCTTCTTGGACGCAACCCTAAGGACGTTGCTCCTCTCAATTACGAGTCTTCGCCACGGAAACATTGGAAGGTACGGGAGGCCCTCAACGAAAACGCGTGGATCCTCAAAACCAGGCCGCCTGCGGTTGTTTCCACCGAACATGTAATACAATTCTTCACCCTTTGGATGCTTCTGCATGAGGTGCATCTTGATGAGCTTGCCGAGGAGAACATAATATGGAAACACTCGGACTCTCGGTATTACTCTGCGGCCTATGCTTATAGGGCATAGTTTTTGGGCTTGGTCCTCTCCCCCATGGACCAAATGGTTTGAAAGCCTTGGGCCCCACCGAAGGTCAAGTCCTTTGCTTGGCTCGCGCTGCAAGATAGAATTTGAACCGCCAACAGACTGGCTAAGCGAGGTTGGCCAAATTGTGGCCCCTGCCCCTTGTGTCGGGGAGCGCAAGAATGTGGAACCCATCTATTCTTCAGGTGTAGCTTCACGCTGAGTCTTTGGAATTTGGTTATTCAGAAATTACTCATACACGACATGGATACGTCTGCGTGGAGCTCGTTCTGACTCAGTCAAGGCATGGTGGGCGAACACGAGTGTCGTGGGCACCACCAACCAAAAAGTGAAGGCCTCGATCACCATGCTTGTGTTGTGGGTCATTTGGAATGAGAGAAACACAAGAGTGTTCAGGCATAAGAGCACACCTCCGCCAACTTTACTCAACAGCATCATCGTCGAGGCAAAGAAGTTAGGGTCTTTTCTATTGCGAGGATAATTGTTATGCCGTACTCTGGGTGTGTGTTATAACAAACTCTTCTCTCCTTATTTAATATACGAGGCCTTTGCCTCCGTTTCAAAAAAAAGAAGAGAGAAGTGACAACACAGATTCGTAAGGGGCAAAGAGGAGAAGTGGTGATACGGATGGATCGTTTCTCGCATTGGAACGCAGACACATTTGCTAGTAAAACTAAAACAATGGTATGCAGTTGCGTACTCCTGGGAAAATTTTAAATAAAAAGACAATCCTTGAAAATTATCAGTCTAGTCTTATTCTGAGACCTGATGAAATATTACAGGAGTACCCGTCATATACAAGAGAATTCGCTAGAAATGGACTATCACAAAGATTCAGGCAATCTGCTGCCCAGGTTATACACGATTATTCATCAGGTCACCAGCTAAGCTGCTTTCCTTCTGGAGGGTAATTTGCAAAACTGTTCAAAGGCAGAGTAGAATGATCATCCTTCGCGATACACTAAACTGGAAACAAAAAGCTCAGCCCGATGCATTTACATGCACAGACATCAAAGTATCATGCCCCCAGGTCCTTCAGCTTTCTCGGAACTTTGACAAAAAGTTTTGAAACAAAGAGAAGCCTTCCATCGCATCGTGCGGCATGTTAAGCGTGAAGGGGGGAAGAACACTCGGACCAGCCTTCAGATCCTTCAGGCCAGCAGCTGACGGTAGCGCAAGCGCAGGTTGCTGTCTATTGAGCTTTTCTATGATGTACGAGAAAGTTCCAAAGGCCAGACAGCTCTGAATCAGAGTTTGCGGTGCACCTGCAACAGACAGCAGAAAATATGGTACTGAGGTGATCAATACATATGAAGCAGTTTATTTATGCTACAGGAGAGAAAACAGAAACACTAACTCCTGCCCCACTCCCTACAAAAAGCACAAAGAGAAGTTGTATTCTCAGCACAATTGGTGAGGGACTTCTCAATTTTTATCCGTACAATAAATGACCAACCAACAGCAAATATATATCTGTACAATGATCACTGGTATGCATGAGTTAATCTACATGCCAGAGATGATACGATAAGGAAGAACTGTTTTTTCCTCCTCTCTCCCACGTCGCTCCTGTAGGCGACTGGGAGGGAACCCTAGCCACCGGGCTCCTCCTCCTCCCCTGCCGCCGCCGAAGGGCGCGACCGAGCAAAGCCCAGCGGCGGAAGGGTCGTGGTGCTGCCGCTCAGGGTGTGTTTGGTTGGGGTCACCAAGTGGAATGTAATGGGCTGGTTCCGCACCCAAGGCCCACTCCGGTGTTTGATCTGTCCAAGGAACAGGGAATGGCGTATTCCCTGATTATGCCGATCCAAGCGATGCCTCCAATCGAGCGGCAAGGTTGTCAGAATCGCAATTCTGTTATACGACTTTATGATCCAAACAGAGTTAGTAGAATCTATGTTTCTACGATCCCAATAGTTAAGATTCTATGACTGGCGATCCTACCATCAGAGCTCCGATTGGATTCAAAATCACGATTCTGACAACCTTGTCAAGAGGACCAAGCAGAACGCTCGTTTCAGCGTCTCTCCCTCTCTGGATCTGCGACGACGGCAAGCACTCCCACCTTACTCCCTCTCCGGCGAGGGCTGTCCCTAGACTCCCCCTCGTCTCTCCTCTGTGATGGCGTGCAGCAGCAGCGGGCGGTGACCTAGCAGTGGCGGCTAGGTACAAGCGGGGCAACGATCAAGCAACTGGGCGGCGGCTGTAGCTGCCAGCTTGGGCAGAGCGGCAGCAGCAGAAGGAGCAGCACCTCATGGGCTGTGGTAGTGGCTGGTGGTTGCAGGTGGCGGCCTCAATTGCTGGGCGGCAGCCAGGCACTGCACGTCTCGATTTGTTGAGCGGCACAACATGAGGAATTGGCAGGCGGTGGCTACACCACGGAAGAGAATCAGGCTCTGGTCCATCGTCCTCTCTCCCTTGTGCATTTGCTAGACTAGGGATCCTAAATGGAAATTTGTACATGTTTGTTCTTGCCTTTTGCAACGACTGTAAATTTGTGCATGCCATGGACCATTTATTGATGATTCTTTCTAAATTTGTTAGTTAAATATGATTGTGTATAGACTATTGATGTTATTTATTTGGCATAATTGTGAAGCAAAATATAAATTGTTGGTGATGAAAAGAAAATAAAACATTGTTTCAAAATTAAATAAAGTGCTTCCGAAAATACAGTTAATGTTGCATATATAGCCAGAAAAGCAAACACTAATTTGAACATTTCTCATTCCATTCCATCAACCAAACATTGAGATGTAACCGTTTCATTCCACCTCATTATTCATACCAAACACACAGATGGAACCATTACATTCCATTCCACTTGATTCTTCAACCAAACACACCCTCGGTGTCTTCGGCGGCATGGCTGGCTTCTGGGCGGTGGGGCATGCTCGTGGTGGCCATGGCGGCAACCTAGGCTCTGCCCAGATCTGGCGTCCGGTAGGGGTTAGCGAGCGGGCCGGTAGCTTCTGTTGTGCCTAGGACGGCAGTGGCCGACAGCAATGGCTGCCCAGCAGTGCTCAGTCATGGCGGCTGCCAAGGCTTTGCCTTTCTCTACGGGCACGCAGGGCGTGCGAGATGGTAGCCCTAGGCGGGTTACGATGGGGCTGGCAATTGTTTGGGGTCTCAGAGGATGATGCGGCCGGCGATGCTGAGGCCGCCCGGCGACTGGAAGTGCCGGTTCCTGGGCAGATCCCTGTTAAGATCTGGAGGAGCCAAATCTTGACGGGGCGCTGGCTGCCGCTCCCTCCAAAGGTTCTGCCGGCAGGTGGCTGACGCGCGAGCCCAAGTGCAGGGGTTGGGTGTCCCCCAGGACGGGCAATTCAGCCGTGGCAGCGATGCTGCCCGGCTATGGCCCCCCTCCAACCGACCTTGTGGTGGGACCCTGATGGTAGGTGGGGAGGTGTCTTCCTCCGTTCGGTCGGCGGCGGCCGCATGTTATGCCGTTGGTGAGAGGTTTGGACAGGGATGCCGGGGCAGCGGCCTCAGGTGGCGGGCTACTCGGTAGGCTCTCCAGCGGGTCTACGGGTGGCACAGTGGTGGTTGTGCTTCTTGGTCGTGTGGGCGGCGAGAGGTGTTGCGGTGGGTGGCCTTGGCGTCTTCTCTGCTGTGGCAGTGAAGGTGCGCAGATCTGGTTATGGAGATCCTGGCTTCGTAGCAGCGGCCGACTTTGTTACTTCTTCGTGCCTCAAGGTAACAACCGGGTGAAAGCTCTGTGCTTCATCGCCGGCAGCGACGGCGTCCTTGGGTACTACTTTCCCCTTGAGGACATTGTCGCAGTTTCCCCCCTACAAAGGTTCCGAGTGAAAACCTTTGTTCATTCCATCGGGGACGGTGACGCTTTGCGCCATTTCCTTCTTGAGGGTGTTGCCTATGAGCCTATCGTTGGTCGTGGAGTGGTGGTGTCTTCAGGCCCTCCTGTATTCTTGCTCATCTTCGTCGTGTCTTTCCATCCGATGTATGTTGTCCGTTCTTTTCTATGTTCTACTTTGTTTGAGGGCTTACTCACCATCATGTATCGTTCAGCCATGTACTTGTGGTTCGTGCTTTACCCTCCATGCCAGCAATTGTGCATGCATAAATGGATCCAAGGGGGCAAGGCAAACCAAGGAGACAAAATAAAAAGCTATGACATCAAAACTGTAAGAACTAAGAAAATGTGCCATGTAACACCAAACTAATTCGGAAATCATTAGCAACATGCGCTAAACCACGAGAGATTACAGAAGCAAGTGAGCAACTGATGGAGAATTCAAAACGATCAATTTTTTAGCCTGATAAAACTTGCAGCTGATGCCAGATATCTAACCACGACCTAAAAGGCTATGTGTGCTCTCAAAATAAATCCCAAGTCCAGAAACCACCATGACACCAGCACACGTTTGCAGCCAACACTGGGGTTGCCAATCAGGTAAGATTTTTATCCAAATAACCACACTAGGCAACTAGAACAAAACAGGCAAATCATTCCCACTCTTATTGTTAAACTACATTAAACTATGTCAAAACCATAGTCTTTGGGCAAGGTATCCAGGAACAACCTGTAAATTTAGATAGTTCCAGCTATTAATTGCATTGCTATAACTTTACCTGGAAAACTCAAAGCAAGGCCAGTGCAACAGCCTGCAACTCCTGCGTTAATAACTGCAGACAAAAGATCCACAAGTCAATGGTCATCCTTGTCATTTTATACACCCTAAGTACTTCAAAAAAGGTAGCAGGCTAGCAGCGCAATCTTAAAGGGGGCATCAAAGACAGACCGTCATCTTTGCCACGTAGCTTTCTTAAAGAGCAAGAAACCAAACTTTGAACGCCGGCAAGAACAGCAAATATCTAGAACATCAGACAAAATTCTCAATATGATGGTTAACAGAGAAAAATCTATTACAAATGAAATGAACATTGGTATCCAACAATGAAATATGTATCATCATACCTTAGCAGAAGAGGCAGCGTCAGCAAATGAGCCTTTAAACCCTTTTGTAGTAACCAAACCTTTTCCTAAAAGGTCACCAGATATAGTTAACATAACAAAGAGATATTGTTGTGTTTCGAATAGAAGGATGATACACAGCAGGGCAGCCTGACAGCACGTATGCCAAACAAAAATATTGTGCACAATGAACACACAAGGCTGAAACAATTCCAATTTACAGGTAGCATTAAATGATTGAATTGATTTGACATGACCACCAGATTCACTACCATATTCCATAAAAGATCTACGTTGTTATATTCAAGGTGGTAACGGCCGTAGCTAGATAGGCTATTTTTGTTATCCACAAATTAAGGTGGCATTTAGTTGGTGATTGGTTCATTGGGCCTCAGCCTGACTGTCAGTGGTGGAGTGCACAAAGCAGCAATTGGTTTATTTATAAAAAATTAGACCAGTGGTTAAGTACTTAAGTACCACCCATGCATGTCGAGCAACTTAACATGATAACAGACGCCGCCAAGCTCCATACATACCTCCTTTACTAAGAAAGACCCTGCATGAGAATGCAACGTCGGGAGCATCTAATCTACCAATTAATCACCAGGTCTAGGTAAAACAGATTTGACAATTGACATGCTTTGGATTTTGGGCATCCAAAAACTTCTATGGATGACACAAAATCCAAATATTGTATTCGAAAATTAGGCATGTGCGTGAACCTATTTCTGTGCCCAAACCACTGGTAACAGATTAGCAACCAAAAACTGAGCTAGGTGTGTAACTCCATTGTTCCTTTGTGAGTTGCTTTTACTTTAGTTGTTAGTCCATAACAAGTTGTGTGAACACAGCACAAACACACAGTAAACATATGAGTTGAGTGTGTCCATATCTAGTTCGGTATGTTTGTATGAGCCAAAAGAAAGTTATCTACCAAATTTTCTGAGAACCCGCACATGTTCTGTAACAAATTTTTTCATTTGGAAGCATTAGCAAGTAATTTTATTTTATTTTATTGCAAGGAATAAACACATACTGCAGCTTCCAGATAGGTACGTCTGCATGCAGCCAGGCCTTAAATCAAGTATAAACGGAGCAAAAAAAATTGGTTTTGCCAACATTTCTGAGAAATTTCGCACATGTTTCAATCTAAGTAACCACGTGATTTTTCATGAGGAATAATTATTTGCGGTTAACTGTAAAATCCATCAACAATTTACTCCATGATCCTTGGTGCCAGTGTCACACAAATTCAACAAAATTGCTACAAGTTCAACTATCCTGAACATGTAATTATAATCAGCTACATGAAACCCAAACAACACACTGTGTGCCGCAATTGAGCTTTATCTCCTAAATGTCCTCAACACTGGCACAGTATACTGCGAATCTAACAAAGAAAAACCAGAATCAAGTGCCTTATGAATGATACTAACTATAGACCGTGTGGACAATCAGTACTAAGGGCTGAATTGCACACCGCAGATTAGACATAACCTTATCCAATTACGAGAGGCCTAGAATAGAAAGGGAGCCAGCCAGGACCAAAGATCGCAGAGCCCTAACCCTAACGGACGTGTCGAGCCGAACGAGGAGGCGGAGGGACGGGGTGTTACCATATCCAACGACGGCGCCGACGAGGGAACCGGCGGCCGATTCCCAGGCGAAGCGGAGGAGGCAGACCCCAGGCGCCGCGGTGGCGGCGGAGAGCGGGCTCGGATTCCGCGACACGGAGAGGCGCGTCAGGATGGGGTTGGCGCGGGGGGGCCTCCGCGGCTGATGCGGAGACTCGTCGGAGGACTCGGCGTCGGTGGTGTCACCGCCATCGGAGGAGTAGTTTTCGTCCGGCTTCGGGTCGCCGCTCGCCATGGCCGTCGGTCGTACTCGTGACACTGCTGTTCGCGTGTGTCCGCAGCAGCACCTCGTCACGGGTACAGTGGCAGTGGGACTTCGTATTCGTAAGATTCAGCTTTTTTTTAACTTCGTAAGATTCAGCTTTACTGTTTTTTGCCCGTGCAATGCGAGCAACGCAAATACGATCGCTCAGGGTCATGTAATCATGTCCCGATGGCTCCACTTCCTGGACGATCTCTCGATCATCCATGACGATGGAGTCGTCGGCTCGGCAAAATTTCGTGTCTTACCCTTTTTCATTACTTTATTAATCAGATCCGGCCTTGGTTTGATTTTTTTTTAAATTTGACTTTTTCTCTTAGGACGCTGATATCCACCACCCTTGTGGTATCTAGGGGTGTGCCGCATGTCCCGTGTGGCATCGACACAACCCCGCCCATACAACGGCGTCCGGGCGCACCAAGCCACAACTCGCATGTCCGATGTGTGGCGCCATCGCCACATGTCCAGGCGAGCGATCCCGCGGCCCGCACAACCTTTCTCGCCCGTCATCCCTATCCGCCTACGAACCATAGTGCCATCGTCCGTCGTCGTCTCCAACCTCTGAATCGGCCAATCTTCCTCTACCTCCATCG